AGGAGCGGGCGGGGGGAGCGCGGCGGCGGCGGCGGCGGCGCCGCACCGAAACTTGGGGCAAGCGGCCGGCCCCCAGCCCGCGGCGGGGGGGCTCCGCGCCGCTCCGCGCAGCGCCGCGCCGGGGCCGGGGAGGGGGCGCGCGGCCGGCCCCGCTCCGCTCCGCACCGCTCCGCTCCGCACCGCGCCGCCGGCCGGGCGCTCGGCGGGGCCACCTGCCCCCGCGCCCCGGGCGGGGCCGCGCCGCCCCGCGCAGGGCAGGGCAGGGCGAGGACGACCCCCGCCGCCGCCGCCGAAGTTTCCCCGGGAGGAGCCGGGAAAGTTGCGGCCGGCGGCGAGCGCAACTTTGTGCCTGCGCCCCGGCCCCGGCCCCCGCGGCGCCCCCGGCGCGGGGCGGGCGCGGAGGAGCGGCCCCGCACATCCCCCGGTGCGGGGCGGCCCCGGGCCGCGCTCCCCGCAAACTTTGCGGCCGCCTCTCGGAGCGGGACAGCTGATCGATACGGCCGCGGGCAGCCGCGCTGGGAGCCGGGCTACAGGTTTCACCAGCCATCGCTGGCAACAGCTTTGTCATTTTCTAAAAATAAGAAGCTAAAAGTTATTGTAGAAGAAGGGGCTTTTTTTGTCCCCTGCACAATATGCCTTTTGTGAGTTTAATGCCATTCTGGGGCTCTCTATAGCCCCGGACAATGGGGAACTCCAGGAGGCGGCTGTGCCTCTGCCTTTTTTCTTTCTTGCTTTCTCCTTTCTCCCCCCACCCCCTCCTCTTCCACCCCCCCCTCCTTTTTTTTTTTTTTTCCCTTTTTTTAGGAAAGGATGCAACATTCCTCCAGTCCCAACAGAATCTCTGGTTTGATTAAATAAATACTTCTCTGGTGTTACGGTAACATTTTTTTTTCCCCTTTCTGTTTGCAGACATTTCTAATTATTATTTACATTTTTAAAAAAATTTTTATTTCCAGCAGCTTTTCCCTCTCCAAGCCAACCTTGGTGAAAAATGTAGATGACTGCTGGGAATGGGGGATTTGAATTTTAGGAACTGAACCAGTAAAGAGCCTCGATCCAGGATTCAGGAATATGTTTTCTTCATCTTCCTATAAGAGACTGTTTTGTTACTGGCAGAAATGCAGCTGAATTAAATCATCTCTTTTGAAAACCTAAAGAAGCTTTTCAAATTGCATTTTTTTCTTTTTTCTTCTTCCTTTTTTTTTTTTTTTCTTTTAAATGGTAACCTAAATAATTAACTTCCCGGTTTGTTTCATAGCGTTGAACAAGGAATGCGGTTGCGGTCAGTTTTTCCATTTTGGAGAACCTTAATGTAGATGTATTTTATACTGAAAGGTAATAAACTGCATGTTTGTTAGTATTTCTAATGAAATGTATCAAGCTTTCCATATTTCTTAGCCTGGTGGTGGTCATTTGAAATTTTGACAAGTCCCTTTAGTGGGATGGGGGGGTAAATGAAGAGGAGAGCTTACTAGAAATTGAAGAAAGGCTGTACTAGTTGATACGTTACTGGAAGTGTCTTGCATTTGGAAGATTTAAGAATCAAGGTTTAATATGTGCCACGGTTATTTGAATATTATAAATGCAGCACTGACTGTGTACGGTTACAATGCGCATGCTGTGTATGAGGTCTTATGGCTTGTTAAATGAATAGACTCCAATGCATTGCTTGTTTGTCTTTAAAAGCTGCCCTTAAAAATCTGTCTGTTCCTGCTCAAAATGTGTGTGTCCAGCTTTATGGAGGAGTAACTGTAATATTATTTTCCCTTCAAAAAAAAAAAAGGCAAACCCCAACCCAGCAAGCCCTGAGGCAAGTAGAATTTCTCAGGGCTGCTTGGTGCGCTATCTATAAAGGTGCATGTAATTTGTAACTGTTGTTCTTACTGAATATGGAACAAACGTGTTTTGACGATGAAATTGAGGCAAGAATAAAGTAACCCTTGTCTTTTAGTAGTTGGTGTAACTTACAAGAAGTGCATATATTCACTAGAGGCTGTAGATCCAGTGGACCCGTCTGAGAATGGGTGCTGCCTGTGTACACTCTTTGCAGAGGAAAGAAAAAGTAAACATGTGGAGAAGGTGGCGAGCAAATCTAGTAACTTTGATCCTCCAGAAATAGGCACCTTAGCAGTAACACGTGCAAATGCAGAGTCTGGTAGTCATGTACATTTTCTTTGCATTTGCGTCGCAAATTCTAGTTTTGTGTTGCTGTCCTTTAATTTCCCATGACAACATATGGATTCCATAAACGCAAACATGCCGAAGTGCGTCTGTCTGGGTAGTTAACACAAACCAAACATCCCTCTTTTCGGCAATCCTGCTGTTCCTCTGGCTGTGCTGCGCTGTGCCCTCCTGTGACAGTCTCTCGCCGCTCCTGCATTCTTGTCCTTTTATGCTCCCACGGTGATCCCGAGTGCCCCAAAAGGGAGGAGGGCAGCGGTCGCCGGGGTCAGAGGCGCCGGGAGCGCGGCTGCACCCAGGAGCGGGAGGGTTGCGCGGGAAGAGGGGAGCGCACCGCGTCCCCACACCCCTCCTGGGTGCTGGGTCCAGCCAGAGCAGCCTCTGCTGCGGGGTCAAGTCCTAGGGCATCTCGCTCCCCTCCTGGTAAGGGCAGAAGATGAGGCAGCGACTGCTGCCACAGCTGCGAAGAGAAATGCAGCCAGATGAAGCGGACGACAAAGGTTTTGCCCCTCGTCCTGACCACAGGCATTCAGAGGCTGGGAAATGGAAGAGTTCCCATTTTTACTGGGGTGCAAAAAGAGGTGGCGGGGTGTGTGTGTGTCTGTGTGCGCAAAGAAGGAAGCGAGCAAGCAGTGACTGGAGTGCCAGCCAGCCAGACAACTGTACAAATAGCAAAATAAGTCGAAGGAATTAAGGAGTAATTTGTACAGTAATCATTAGGTAAAACATTCAAACACATATGTGCGCACAGTTCTCCTCTAGAAAATTAACTTCCATTAAGACTTCTTTGTTCTAGGTAAGACAAACCAGTTTCTAAAATACAGGGAGCCTACCCTCGCTTTAATTGGAAATCTTGATGTGACCTTATCTGTAATACTACGGATGCCTCTTTCTATATATGTAGCTTTACATATCCTTGGACTGGATCCTTGGTTCAAATGCCTTTTACTGTGCTTAGAAAAAATCTCTCAGTATCAGATTTGCAGGAAAAATAAGACAGATTTTTCCCATGAGAAACTTGTTAAAGACACTTGAATTATTAAATTAACCCTATTTTTTCTCTTGCAGCATATGTGACATATTTGTACACAGAATCATATAGTTTCATTTATATGTTACTTTGAACAAATGAAACTAATACCAGTGTTTTAAGGGAAATTCTACTATTTGTTAATTAAGAGGAACAATTTTAATGCAAAATGTTCAGCTTCTGAGGCAGCGCATATGGCTTTCTGGACATAACTTAAAAAAAAAAAAAAAAGCTGTTTTCTTTGACATACAGCATAGGGGTAAGCGGCCTCAGGTTCCCGTGGCTCTGCGAGGAGCCCAAGTCCTCCTGTAGAAACACGCTTGGGCTGTTGAGCATCTTAGGAGAAGATCTATCCTGAGGCAAGAGTGGGCCAGATTTGCAGGCGGCTGTGGTGAAAGCAGTTGACTACTGTGAATTTGGGGGGAGCCACAACCATATCACATTCCTCAGTCACCAGCCTGGCTGCATGCCGCCTGTTTCCACTCAGCAATACGTGGGAATTGGACCAAAACCTGAAGGTGCAAGAGGCCTGCCAGGCTGCCCGCTGAACTGACGTTAGGGGTGAATGTATGGGTGTGGGATGTGTATAGTAGGGAAGAAGTTCCAGGCTATCTTTTTAAATTCAGGCTTTAAAAATTATTGTGGAAAAAAAAAATCCTGGTTAGAAAAAGAAATCTCCATAATATCATCCACTTGCAGAGCCTTGTGCTTCTTGGAAATATGTCTAAAGAATTAGAACAAAGCGTAGAAGGCTGGAGTCCTTGAAGGAGCTCCAAATGATAAAGTCTGCCATTCATTTTAAACACAGCGTGCATTGTGAAAACACAGGTCAATTTGAAGGCATTTGTCAGATTTCCAGTTCCCTCTGCTCCTTTGCAATGGAAATTTGCAATCAAATCCCTGCACTGGAGTTGGGGTGTCTGGCTTTATCAGTTATTACTTCATACTCAAAGCAGTGTCCAGGTAAGCTTTCCTTTTTATTCAGAAAGTTTGTTTGCATGAAGTTTCACACAAGAAGGGGGGAAGGCTAACATGGATTAAACCGGAGCAGATGCATTTATTTAGGAGTTTGGAAAGGGGTGAAAGTGCAGATGATGAGAAGCGACTGATCGCAAAGGACTGTGTAAGCTGCAGAAGCGATCTGATACCATTTCAAGGTGCCCAGCAAGAGGCATGGGAAGGGATATTCCAACAGCAGCACGTTTGTTGTTGGGAGGCAGAAATGCTTAGAAACAGAGGGCTGGAGAGACGCACTGCTGAGCAATTCCAGCCAGATAACGTGCGTTTTTTCTGGCAGCGTGTCTGTGTTGTTCAGTGGGCAGGGGGCTGACTCCTTCATTGCTGAGAGAGAGGGGTGGATGTGCTAGAGGGGGCTGCGTGTATTTCCCTAGAAATACTCACGGTAGGATTTTGGAGAGATTTGAACTTGAGGGGGGAAATATTCAGAGGAACACTCGTTCTTTTGTCTTCAATATATTTTTTTACTATATTATTAAAAGAAATCTGTCCATCCATTTTGTAATCACTGCACTTAGCATAGCCACTGGGAGTGGTGGGACAGTGCTGGGCTGTTCCAGCAACCTCAGACCCTCTGGCTGGGTTGCTGTAGTCAGGCTCAGTGCATAGCCCTTAAGTCAACTAGCAGATTTTTAATACGAATTTGCTTTTTCACAGGCCTAAACACAAGATGAGTAGATGTGTTTGTGATGGAAATAAGCACTTGGAATACATCTATATGTTCTTTTTTTTTTTTTTTTTTTTTTTTTTAAGAAATGAAGAAAAAAGTCTTGGCATTTAATTAGGACTCACTAACCTGATAAATATTGAACATCATTTCTTTGTGAGCTGCTCTGTGTGCTCCGAGTACTCTATGGATGTGTTCCACAATTGCACTTGTTTAATGCCTGTATCACCTCATGCTTATTGTATTTATGTTGTCATCAATGTCAGATTTTAATTAAACAATTAAATCACTGTCACAGTAATTTCCCTAGAAAACTATTTCAAATGAAAAATCCCACAATAAATGTTTGGGAACCATCTTAAAAGGGAAGAGAGGGAAATAAGTTACAAAGTAAAATTACAATTCCCACCAAATTAGAAAAGAAAATGAAATTGTTTTCAGCACTGCAAAGAGTTCTGTTTTACAGGGCAGTTTTAACAAAATTCAGAGCGTGTCAATACGGTGACTAAAAGCACATGCCTGCCTTGAGGCCAGCCTGGGTCTTCTGAGCTGGGACTGAGGCAGAGGGACCCTCGCCCACGGTTCCTGCAGCCCTACAGTCATCCCCCTCCATGGGCCAGAAACACACCACAGCATTACACGTCTAGCACCTTTCACCCTAAGTCACGTACCAAGAACACCTCAGAAAATATTCCAGCTGCCTTCTTCCCCTCCAAATTATTTTAGAATTAAGATGGAGATTTGCAGAAAAGCCTGCATCAAATTCTTTGGTCAGTTAAGCACCAATACCAGCTGTACTTAAAACAGAGTAACCATGGACTCACAGCCTGTGTTTTAAGCAGTGAGAAACCTGCTCTGATGTAGCATCTTTGCTACAGCTAACCAAATAGTTCACCTTTACCTCTCTATATATGTACAGACATTCTTATTTCCTCTAAGACTTGAGTTTTCACAAAAGGTGGAAAGAAGAAGGGAGTGTGTACTTCGCATAAAATAAATCACAAATATGAGATGCAAAATTCATCAGACAAGGTATCTGAAAGAATCATGTTCTCAAACGTACATTCAGAATATTACCTGTATTTAACATAAGCACATTTGACATTTGCAGCACAGCCTCAGACGTGAGGCATGCTTATTTAAATTCGGATTCCAGCATGTGATTTCAGTCAGTGATGTACCCTGCAGCTAACCCTGACCCTCCCCTATTAGCCTGTATAGCTGCTTTGATTTGTGCCCTCTGAGGGCTGGGATCTGGGAACCAAACACCAGGGAGCTGCAGCAGCGGCTAAAGGAGGCTCCGCTCCTCCCTCTGCAATTCAGCGAGCTGCTCCTTACTCAGCCCTGCACCCAGGCAGAGAGAGGACAGATCCAGGGCTGGAAGGATTGCCTCCCCTGTCGTGTCGTCCCCGCTCCCTCCCCCGGCACCCAAATCAGGATGGGAATCCCAGTCAGTATTTCTTTTATGTCTATGCTGCATTTTTATTGGAATGCAGCTTTGCAGATCGGTTATGCCTGGGATGCGTGTGGTTTCTATCAGCCCTGAAGTGTTTTACAGCTGGAGCTGATTTGGGGGGCACATCTAGCCTGTCCATTTGCAGCAGCCAGGTCTGATGTTTGTCTGCTGCTGTCTCTCTAATTTTTTTCTGTGTTGCCTCTATCAAAAGGTGAGATTAACTGTTTTGCACTTGGGGTGGGGGGGAGGTGGACAGACACGGTGACACCAGGCCCATCCCTCCCTCCTCCTCATTTTAGCTTGCTTCTCACAGCAATTCACTAGCAGAGCCTCTTTCTTCCGCTGGCCAGAACGAGCATGCAAGAACCGCAGAGATACCTGGTGCGGCGCGCAGAACAAAGGGGCCGGTTGTGGACAGCACGCTATGGGAGCCCCCACCCCAGCCGCCTGACTGCTGTTTAAGTCTGGGGCACGCAGCCTTCAACCAGAAGGCAGGCAGTGAATGCCAGCCAGGCAAGGAATTTGCTTTATTGGGCAATAGCTGCACCAGAGCCTCCACTGACCGCTCCGGGCACGGCCAGGGCAGAGCGGAGCCTCCCTCGGACCCAGCCAGCAGCATCCTGCTTTTGTCAAGCAAGGGGCTGCCATTCAAAGTAACTTTGCTGAACATAAGCAGACAAATACATATTTTTGTACTCTGTAAAGGAAAGGGGAAAACTGATGGGGTTGCACAGAGCCCTCCTCCAGGCAGGAGAGGCTGTGCTGGAGGAAAGTATTGCTCATAATGACACTTAAGCCCAGACACTTGAATGCTAAAGGTTAAACTTACATTCTTCAAGAAAGGGCTCCTTGCCAGCTTGAACTGTGTTGTGTGTTCACTATTGCCTCCTCCTCCTCTTCATCCACTCTCAATCCACTTTTGGTATTTGTTGAAATAACTGAGGCTATTTTTTTTCTTTTTTTTTTCCTAATGTATGTTCTCTATGGCAGTCCTCAGCCTTGTGTCTGTCACAGGGCTAAAAAAAAAATAATAAAAAAAAAATCAGTCTAGTGCCAAGTGCCAGTAAAAAAAGTAAAGTTGTTTTTTTTTTTTTTTTTTTCTTCTTCTTAGCTGACAACAACTATATTCACTTCAAAAAAGACCAGTCTCAGTACATTTTCTATCCTCTGGTATCACACAGTCCATAGAACTCCATCCTCTAATTCCTGTGCTTAGCTTAATAAGCAGAACGCATATTCTGAAAGTAAGGCTAAAAAGTTAATATGGATTTAAAGTACAAATTAAAAGGCTGATATAAATATAATAAACAATAGAGCAGAGAAAGAACTTTTGGAGACATTAATCACCAGGAAAGGAGATGAAACTATTGGCAATGCTTCCAAACGTTCAAGCAAAAAAAGGACAAAAAGGGAAATGCCCACATAGGAGCAGCACTTTAAGATGAATTTCAGCATAATATGAAGAAGCACACATGCTGCTCGGATGCTACATTTAGATCTTAATGATCAGAGAGCACCTTCTCCATATACTTTCATGCTTTTCCCCAGGGATATTTCCCATTAAAAAAAAAAAAAAAAAAAAAAAAGAATGGAAATAACATTACAGTTGTGTATGGCTTCTGAAGCAGCCCCATTTACACAGCATCACGTAGGCTTTCCAGAGAGAGCCACTCCTGGGTGAAAGAAGGTTCCTACTCAGCAGCTGCTGAGGTGGCAGGTAGAGAAGACCCTGGCTGGAAGGCTGGGTCAGTCACTTTGAGGAGGAGCGTGGAAAAGAGCCAGAGCAAGATTTAGGAGGCAAACACCATTTTTATTTGGGTTCACCAATGATAAAAGGCTGGTGATGTTCATTTTTCCTACTTCCTGCAGCACGGGAACAGGGGGTGCGCAGTGCTCTGCATCCCTTTAAACAACTGCTCGCTGCAGTGTATTTCTTGGCACGGCCCTAATTGTATCTGCTGGTCCCAGTGGAAGTTCACACTTTTTAATATCTCTTCTTGCTTCTGCAACTGCTGCCACCAGTCAGCAATCGCAAACAGGAAGCAGTGACTCAGCACAGCCACAACCGGCACACGGACAGTGGCCGGGGGGGACGGGAAAGTCCTGCCAAACGCCGCTGACGGACGAGGGGCCAGCCCCACACTTTGTCTCCAGCAGTGGGCCGCGAGCACGGTTACTTTGCGGCCTGACCCACGAAGGCGTCTGGAGACAGAGCTCCTGGCTCGGTGCTCCAGCTTGCACCCAAACCTGGGGACAGGAAGGCCCCGTGACACTCGGGGCCTGGGCGCAGTGGCAGAGTCTGCCCATGGCTGGGGACCGATGGCTTCACGCCCCGGGGACCATCACAGCAGCAGACCCCGGGCTGTAGCCTGCACCGGGAGGACTGGGACCACTGGTGCCTGGTCACCCCTCTGTGCTGCAGCGAGCAGGTTTTCCCCAGGAGGGCCCAGGCAGGGGCAGGAGGAGGGGAGCCCGTGGCCAGGAAACGCCAGCGTGGCCCCGCTGGGGCAGCGGCAGAGCCAGGCACCGCGCCTCGCGCACCGCGGGCGGCGGAAGGTCTATTCCGAGCCTGGTCTCATCTGCGTCCGAACTGTATTTAGCAGCGAGTTTACTCCAGACTGAGCCTGCGTGAGTAAGTGTGTATGTAAGGGCTGAGGATTGGCTGCGGCAGGCGGAGGGCTTGCTGAAAGGCTCGTTAAGGAAGCACTACTGACCATGCAATCCAATTACATAATGCTTCAAAAAATAACCGTGCTGGGAGCCTCGTCTGGGCAGCGCGTTTCGGCAACAGAAAGAGGTATCAAATATCTGCCTTCCAACCCAAGGCTGATAGGATATTTGTGCCACAATCCGACACTGCGCTTCAGCTGTAAACTGCTCGAAAGAGGAAACTTGCTTCCAGGGGAAATGTCTGCTGTTCCCTTTCAAGGCAGTGCTGCACCCTGCAGACCGACGTTATTTGAGTCCTTGTAAAATTACCACTAATCTCCGCACTCAGAATGCCTTGCATTTTATGGGTACTTGCTATGACGGCAGCTTTGTTTTGTGGGGGTAAAGGAAAGTGCTGAGCGGGCACCTGGCCATCAGCAGTAGCTGTGGCAGTGTTTTCCCAGCTTTCTGCTCTTGCAGTTTCTCTCTGCCACTCCAGACAGGACACATGTGTGGATGATGCACAGGATCACACTACCATGCCTGGAAAATTCCTGAAAAAGTACTCCATCATGCCTGGAAAAGATACGGCCCCTGTCCCAGAGAAGAACCTGCACGGTGCCGCGCATTTTGTCTGCTGAGGTCAATGAAAGCGGGGCAAGCCCAGGACTCGAGGCCAGGCTTCCTGCCTCAGGAGGCGGCTTAGACCACGCGTTATATTTTTGATGAGCAGAGATTTAGAAAAGCCTGTCTCCAAGCAGCACTGGTAGTTTTTATTGTAGTTACTAATTTAACTGCCAGACTGCTCTGAGAGGCGTCACAGAAAAGGCACATTTCTAGTGAATGAGGAAAGAGCCAACTAAGAATATTCTTGGCACTTTACAGAGTTTCTATACCTGAACTTCTGTTGTTCAGTTGCTGGGAACACTTCACACGACGTAAGTGAGCCTCTATGCTTGCAATAAATGCCTCAATTTTAACCTGTTCCCAGCTCAGGGCACAGCAGGGTTCCCTGCTCAGTGAGGCGCGTTAGCTGCAGCGCCCACCTCCGCCATCCCAGCCACTGGGCTCCTGCTGCCAAAACGGGGATGAAGTAGCCCTGCTGTAGCCACCCCATCAACAACCTCTGCCTGCTCGTTCTGCCAGCACCGTCTCACAACGTGGGCACTACGTTTTAAACCCGTGCTACACAAGAGTCCTGGCTTTGCTTCCTTGCACATTTTCCAGCTCTGCCCCGAGCACCCTGCTCCAGGCCAGGAGAGCTGCCTGTGATGACGGCTGTGGCGAGGAAAGGGTGGAGGCCGAGCTCCAGCCCGGCTGCACGCTCCATCCGCTGCCTTCCTCCCGTCTATTTCTAGACTGTTTACCTGGCAGGCGCACACGACCGGCCCAGAAGGAAGCGCTGACATCACCCCGCTGCCGTGCCCGCTGCCCGCGGCTTTCAGCCCCCTCCAGCAGGACCTCCTGGGGCCGGGCCCCTCTCGCAGGGCCTGGGGCTCGGCGCTGTGTCCTTGTGCGGCTCGCAGACACGTTGTCCGCCCGGCATGACGCCGTCTGACACCGCTTTTCCCTCTGCAGGGCCGTGACGGGCGGCCACCACGCTCAGGCAGGGACTCAACCCACGGCAAACCCCACACCGTCACCCGGCAGAAGCACTGCTGGTGGTGGGTAAAGAATGCGTCTTTAAGTGCTAACATCCCATTCACCTGGTGCTACAGACTTAAGAATATCACTGCTTCTCCTCCCCCAGCTCCAGCAGCTCTCCAAACCCCCTCCACACCGACGCCAGCCCTCCCCGCCAGCAGCACCAGACAACCTCTGCTGTCCCAGGGCGCTCGCCGTCCCCTCCCCACCCACCTCGCTGCCACGTCGGCCTGTGTCGGTGAGCAGAGCCGCACACGGCCGTGCCGAGCAGGCGCCCTCGCGGCCTCTCGGCACCGTGGCCAGGCCGAGGCGGGGGCAGGTGCTGGGCCCCGCCGGGGCTGTTTATCCCGGGCAGCCGGCGGCCGGACTCCGGCCTTGAGCTGCTCTGTGGAAGCTTTCTTGGTGCACTTGGGCACGGAGCCAAAGTATGCAGCTTGAAGGAAATGTTTAATAAAGACGCAGGAGCCTCAAACTGTTTATTTTTCCTCGCAGAAAGGTGGAGGGATGATGTCCCTGGAAAGGAACTCCTGAGGCAGGCGGAGGCTGGCGGCCGGGCCGGAGCGCTGCCGTGGCGTCTGCGGGACCGAGCGCAGCCTCCAGCCTCTCCCTCCCCTCACAGCTCCGGCCTGCAGGGTCATAAACCGTGGGGGAAAAGGCAGCCTATTAGTAACTCTATTAAGTCTCCATTAGTTAGGTGTGAACTCATTACCCTAATATACTTGGAGGTAGGATTCCACTGGCAGGACATTAGCACTCTAATAAGCACATTTACCACTCGGCACTGGACTCAGCGAGAGGAGGGAAGCACCTCAAAGGCTGGAGCAAACACAGAGGCTCTGTTCCCCCAGCGTTTGCCCCACGGAGGCTGTGTTCCCCTCGCATGGGACAGCCTGACCCTGCACAGGAATGGCCTCTGGGCTCCCAAATCCTCCTCAAGCCCTTTTCTTCCTGTGACAACTATGGGGGGAGTCACCAAAAAACACGCTGCCCCTCACATCTGTTCATCTTACAAGTAACTGCATGTCCAGAGGAAAGCAAAGGTGGTGGCCAAATGATGTGTGATGGGAGGAACAGAGAATGGCTGTGGGCAACGGTGAGGACTGGGGACAGAGGATGAATAGCAAACACTACTGGGAATCCGAGGCATTTAACCAAAAAGAAAACGATAACCACAGCATGAGCATGCCATGGCTTGTCCACTCATCTACTTGCTTCTTGCAGTGCTCTTTCGCCTTTGTCTGACTTGGCATTTTTGGCGTGTTTGCTCTTTGTGACGGGAACTGTCTTCTGTTGCCTGAAAAGCCATGCACATTGTGAGGATGTTACAGCAATTGAAGTAACAAGCTTATAGGAAATCAATTAATTAATAATAGATAGGATGCAGGAGCAGGGCTTCAAATGAGATGTTGAGTTAGCATAATAAAAAAATAACCATATGTAGAAAATCGGTATATTTCTCCAGGCCACTGTGAGCATTTTGAGTAAAGGCTGCAGCACTGAGGCTGGAAAAGCTTCAGCATGCTGTAGGCCAGCTGTCATTGGGGTTTCTGGAAGCTTCTTGTGTGTTAGCATCATTTTAATTAAAATATTGGTAAACTGGTGTACAGCAATGGCCTTGCTGTATTTTAAATATGAAAGATTTTGTGTTTGAGAAAAGAAAGATGCAAACAAAACAAAAGGGGGTACAAAAGCACAATGTTTTGTCTTTTGGAGACAGCAAAAA